CGACGGGGGATGTGTGAACGGCCCCGGCCCCGTGCCTATATTGCGGACATGTTCTGTCTTTGGTTTGGTTTCGGTCCCAGACGGGGATGTTTACTACCCTGAGTCTGCATTGTCCAGTCTTGCAATCAGTGTTGGCTCTACCCCTGTACGGAGAGGATAGAAGTACCCTGGTCATCGAATCAAGGCACCACACATTGTTACTTCTGCTCCTGACACGTTCCCACTAGAAGAGCGCAAGGTTGGCGCGGAAGGTACAATGGCGCGTCGCGCCGACTCCCGCGAGTGTCGGAGAAGTCTGCGGTTGCCGCTTGATTCACGGCTTTCACGCCTATGCTTTTGACGTCGCTCAAGACTCCTTTTTCCCATTCCTGCCTGCTACACACAAAGGACTTTCATGTCTGCAGGTTTGGCAGCGCTCGGGGCCTGCGCTTGGCTTTTTGCCCGCGGCGTCCCAGAGAGCCCTGGATGACAGAAAGGGGCTGGGCAAGACATGGGGCAACATGGCCTGAGGAGAGAGGGGGGGGGGGAGGAGAGGGGGGAGGAGAGAGGAGGGGGGAGGAGAGAGGAGGGGGGAGGAGAGAGGAGGGGGGAGGAGAGAGGAGGGGGGAGGAGAGAGGAGGGGGGAGGAGAGAGGAGGGGGGAGGAGAGAGGAGGGGGGAGGAGAGAGGAGGGGGGGAAGAGGAGAGAGTGGCCGCGCCTGGCCGTTAAAACATATCAGCATGCGGCGTCTCCTATGTGTGCTTAGGTTTTAGCAAGGCCTGGCCAAGTTTGCTGGCAAGCGGGCACTGGAAGACTTGGCCACAGTAGAAACAGTGCATGGGCCAAGGGCCCCTCAAGCATGGTTTTAACACAGAGGCCATGTTTCGGAGCCCGGGCGGGCCATTAACAAACCACAAGCAAACCGTAGAACTGAAATTGTTTGACAGGCGTTTTCGTGTGGTTGCGTTTTGTCATGCAAAAGTCATACTGGCGCGTGTGTCGTTGCTACGGATCCGGTGGTGTTTTGCGACGTGGAGAGTGCTGCATAAAGGTGCTGCCATGCTACGCCAGCTATGTTTGCCAAGTGTAGGAGAACGACAACCTCCCCAGATCATCAGACATATATTGAATCACCTGAGCCAGTTCACCAAGGAGGTGGTTGTAATTCAAAGACAGGTCTGCCACTGTGTCTTCGAGAGAACAACACACACGCCCACCTTGCCAACTTTGCCCTCCTTTCAGAGGTGTAGCGCACTTCGAGAGCCAAATGATACAGGACCTGTTGAGACGGCAATTCTGCCGCTTCTCCAATCAAATCCTAATGACATTCAGGAGGAGAGTTGCCCTGGACTGTAGCTGGAACAGGCACACGCACACATGCACACAGAGAGACAAGCAGATTGAGTGGTACAGGTGGCAGGGGTTTGTGGCCCAGGGAATTGGTCTGCAAGGAGTTTCGACGCAGTTCCAGTTGTCTTGCCATGGAATTTCATGGGAACTTCACAGGAAAACAATGAGAGTTTTGCAGGTGGAACAAGCCCGGTTGAAACCGCAACTCAGACCGGCAAGCTGTAAGGAAATACCACGCAAGCCTGCAAGCGGCCATCGAGAAGTGCCAGGAGAAAATTGGCAGCTCTGATGCAAACACGACCTCGCAGACTGAAAGGTTCCAAATAATCGGAAGTGTACTTGAGGCGCCCAAGGAATCGAACCCGATCGGGAGCTAGAGTGTGCGCCGGGCCCCGAACAGCAGGCGGGCCTGTCAGACCTGCGCGCTGGTTTCGCCGGTTTCGCCCTGCCTTTTTCACGCGAATTGAGAGCGCGCGACGAGGCGAGCCGCGCGGAGCGCAAGTCGCCACCTTCGAGGGTAAGCGTGTCTTGAGAAAATGCAGCCGGGTGGGGAAGGGGCTTTGCTTTTTAGTTCCATCGCTCAGTGTCATCAGCTCTGCTTGGTTCATCGATCACTGTTTTGGTTGCCTATGTTCTTACTATGTTTCATGTTTGACCTCAGCTGTTCCTCACCCCAGCTGAAATCTAGCCTCGTTGTTCAATCACATGCGACATCAAGCATCATTGAACCAAGCCCAACTTTCTGCACCCATGTGCTGGCTGAGTTCGTTTGATGCACGAACGGGCTGTGTCGAATAACATGTTGATAACTATTGCTGACCGCGCAATTCTGTCATAGTGTGTGAGTGGCATGATGATGCGTAAGCATTGGTTTGAACGTGGGCGATTCAAACCAATGGGCGATGGCTGGCTCGATGTGTGCTAATGTTCTTTTTGCAGATGAAGCAACAATCAGTGAAGTGTGTCACAATACAGAAAGTGAACATGTGGACGTGTTGCCGCATGCCGTGTTGCCGCGATCTTCAACGCGTTTTGTCCGGATGGCAAGTCGCAAGTTGCGCAAGGTGTTCGTCTTGAAGGATGGGAATGCCGCATGGCGGGTGCTTCCGTGCACGTCTCTTCACCACACAGGCAATTATTCTACTGGTGACTGTTTTGGCAACTGCGTAGATGCGCGCACATGGCTCCATTGCAGTTCAAGTAGAGTTGTGCCATGGTTTGACAAATAATCAACGACTTCAAACACTCGATGTGATTTTAGTTGGGTTGTTTACAGGGCCAGGATGCAGAACGGTGCTCAATTTGTGATGCGCCAGAGACGGACACCCAGCCCTTAAGCCATATTTAAGGGCTGCCGCTGGATTTAGTTGTGGTTTTCGAGCAACCAAAAACAGTGCCCTTGGTTTTGGTTTCTTTGGTTTCTTTTTGACCCAAATGGCATCTGAAGCGAGGTGATCCTCATCATCTTCATGATGATTGTCATCATAGTCATCGCCTTCATCATCGTCATCATGATATTCTTCTATCATTTCAAATGCGGTATTAGGCAGAGGATGCTACGATGATAGTTACAGCTTTGGTAATGCAGAGGATGCTACGATGATAGTTGTCATAAGAGTCATCATCCTTATCATCTTCATGATGATTGTCATCCTAGTCATCGCCTTCATCATCGTCATCATGATTTTCGAAATGCATATAAAAATAAAAATAAGAATGAGATGATGATGATCATCATGATGATGATGAGAAGAGCGATGACATCATAATAAGGATGATCATGATGATGATTATGATGACAACTATCATCATAACACCCTTTGCATCACCAGTGCTGCCTAATAAGAGATGATGATGTTGAAGGATATAGAAATGATGATGATGATGATGTTGACGATAAGAATGATGAAGGATCATATCGATGATGATGATAATGATGATGATGGGCATCTGTATGATGCCGGTAGTCATATGCTTGCTTTAAAGATTAATCCATGCGCTTGTACTGCAACCACCCTTCCCGTGCGCCTCCCCTTTGAGGAGAAGGGGTCGGCGGATATTCAACATGCACCGATTCGAGCGAGGTGTGCATCAACTATGTACCGAATGTTGGTGCCGACAAACAACGTTGGTAGCTCATTCCTTTTGTTGCAAGACTCGCATCCCTGCCATTGTGTACAACAGTTCACTCTACAGTAAGACAGTGTCGGCAAGTGAAACTCACCGAAAGCTCTCAATATAACAGCGCCCAGTCACTCTTCTTGCAAAACTCAGCCTTCGATGCCGTTTACTTGGGCACTGGCTTATCGCCAAAGGAATTGCAGCGATTGCGCCAGTCAGCCAAATTTGTTTGAGATTTGCACGGCGGTGGCTACCAAGGATCTGCTCATGCATTGGGCTCCAGCAGATGAACAGCATCGAGAGTATTGGGCTGCAGGGGATTTTATCATGAGGCAAGATGCCGAAGCATTTGTGGGTAATTCTGCCTCGACATTTTCAAAATCGAACAAGTATTCAATACAACGGGGGCAAGGTGCCATTGGAAGAGTATTTGCTAAAACGTCAACTGCTCTAATCCCAATCCGGCAGTACATCAAGTGGGTGTTTACTCTTTCAGATGTCAAGCCTTTTGATGCTGTGCACCTTGCAAGGACAGTATTGGTGCGTGTGTGTGTGTGTGACCGCAGCCTATCATATAGCGCCTGCTCGGGAAACAACTTGGAAGATACGTTTGTTCTTTTTACAAACAATGTCGAGTTTGCCTTTGCAATGAATGGGACACCTTTTTGGGGCCCCACTCGTGATTCTCGCATCGTCCGCTTTTGTGGCCCCGCATGCAACCTGCGAACAGTTGTGCCGAGAGTATCGGCATATTCTAGCATGGGGAGAAGCGCAAGCCTTGAGCTCGGAGAAATGTGTCTGCCCTAAACCATATGCGCCTTTTACGTACATTTGAAAGCAGTCTGATTGTCATGTGTTTAGCAGCCCGATGGAATTTGGTGGCTCGCATTGCTGGCTTGCATTTCTTGTTTCAACTTCATGCTGGTTGAGCTTTGCAAGTCGGGGGCCAATCACGCCATGAGAGTTAAAGAAATATTCCGCAAAGGGTGCGACCTCCTGCACTTAGTCACCGAAGAAATAGCCTTCGACAAAGGCCTGGTATCAGGCTTATCCGGCATTTCTCCACTGACCGTTGAACCCGTGTTACATGTCTCCGCCGTGCATCTGCGGCTATTTGCCCCGAGCCCATGCCATGGTGGACTCGAAGATGTGGAATGGGTTTGTTTGGAAGACTGCGCACAGAAATCACAATCAACAGAGCACTCAGTTAGAGACGCAGACCAACACAAACAGACGCAGAAAAGACAGAAAAGCAAAGCCCACTGACAAAGGCGCAGGCCGACACATACAGAAGCAGAAAGCGGCTGTCAGACACAGAAGACAGGCACAAGGCACACAAACAAGCACCCAGAAAGACGACTCTGACAGAAGCAAACAGAACGACAGCAAAAACAGAAAGGCGCAGACCGAGACAAACAGCAACAGAACAACGCAGACACAGAAAGATGCACACGGACACAAAGACAGACAGACAGACACCCAAAGAAGAAGACCGACGCAAGCAGAAACCCACAGGCGCAGACGGACACACACACACACGAGAAACATTTGGGTAATGGCAACAGCCTACTAGTCAGACGCTTTGGGCCATGCGAGTTTCGTCGTTTGCTGCTCTATGCACGACACTCCTGTCGCAGTCTGCAGTGGGCCGTGGAAATTTGGAATGTTGGTCAAGTGGTTTCAACTATGACTTCTGTTGTGATACCGGGGTTTATGGTCCGGCTGGGAACACGGCTTGCTGGGACTCAGCCTTCACTTATCAATATTGTTGTTTCGACGAGACAAAACCTGATAAGCTGCTGTCAATCCATACCTACAAGACAGGGTTCATCGGCCGTGAAAGTGCAGTGATTCAAGATCGCCAGAAAGATCTCGAAGCAGAGGAGTCTGGAAGCCTCTCCGACTGTCAATTTCAGTTCGGATGGATGTTGAACGTGAAATGGGGCGCCCCCATCGGCAACTATCCCGAATACTCGGGCGTGCCATTGCGTCACATCGGAAGCGGCTGGGATGGGCAGAGAGCGGGCAACTATCGAGGCTGCCTCGGCACGGGGGGTCGCTTCTTTCTTGTTGAACTGGATTTCGAGTTTCAGAGTTCCGCGAGCCAGATGCACTTTGGACTCTGCGCGCCTGAAGTGTGCTCGGTAGAACAGGTGGCCAATGACTTGGTCCCAGACTATGTGATGCGCGTGGCGGACACTCGACGTTTGATGATGACGATGGGAAGTGTACAGGTTTGGAAATGGCCGCATTTCTTGGACACCGTCTACGTGAGTGACTTGCAAGACGTCACTCTGCGTGATAGAATACAGCAAGTATCATTTCAAACTCAGTTATGCTTCGCATTTGTCACCCTTTTGCTGATCCTTGCCACAATCTGCGACGACGAACAGCGGTTTGAAGAAGTTGGTGGCCCTCATGAGGTGCAGCGCGCAAGCCTTAAAGGCATTCGGAGTAATCTTACTGCGATCGGTCATCACTTTGTCCACGCTTTCTCGGCAAAAAGAGCTTGGAAGGAACTCTGGTCGCCGCCTCAGGGTGACACGGTTGACTTTTTGAAGGGTATTGCCACGGTGCTTCTCGTTTCTCTTCACTTGGAGATGGCGCAAAACGAATCGATGGACGGTGCGCAGGAGGGCGGGAATTTGTTTCGTATCTCCATGTGCTTTCGGTGTGTGATAATGATGACCGTTGTGACGCTTCACTTGGCCATTGGACCTGTGGAAAGCGCAAGCGACGGGTCAGCCCAGAAACTTGATTCGATGTCTCTGAACCAAGTCTTTAGACACTGTAGTCTCAAGTTGGGGAGAAAGTTTTTGAGGCACCTTCCATTGATTATGCTCTCAGTGTGGTGGGATAGAATCGGAAGCAGGTTTTCGTTCTTCAGTCAGCCGTTGAATTATTTGGACGGAACACAGAGCACAGTTGACGACCAGGTATTGAAATGGACCACTCCACCTGGAGAGTGCTTGAAGTCTTACGGGACTTGTGTATTGCGGTTCTTCACGATCAATTGGCAAGTGAGAGACTCCAACGAACGAGTTGTGGCTTGCTTTGGCTTACTACTTCTACGAGCCGCCGGTTTTCGACGCGTCACACATGGCATTCTCTACGTGTGGGCAGTGATCTATTACGTGATCAGAGAATCTGGTCCTGAGAGCCGCTGGGAGTGGGAAAAGTTGCATCATGAATGGAACTACATGGTTGCCAAGCGACTTGAATATCCTGCTTTCCTTGGTCTTTTCTTGGCTGCTCAAAACTTAGCGCATGCGCTTCCACAGAGGCTTCTAAGCAAGCGAGCAGGCCTGTTGACAGCAGCAGCTAGCTGGGTCTGGTCTTCTTGGATCAATCAAAATGACCCTGCTCAATGGTGTCTTGCGCGGAATGTCAAGAAATGCTTGGGAGATGTACCTTTTGTCGTCGGACTCTGTGTTCTTTTGAGGACGGGTTTGCCGTCCACAGAGTTGTTCAAAATCAAGAGTCCTGACAAGGATGTCAAGGAGAACAGCGACCAAAGTACGATCGCTGTTATTTATTTCACACTGACCTTCATCTCTCGGCTGAGCTTTTGTATCTTAGTCGCCGAGGCACCATTCCAAACATATTTGCTCCGTGGTACTTGGCGAGGCGGTGTTCCACTGATGCGATGTTTTCGAGTGGATCCCATGTGGGAGCGAATACTTTTGGCGCCTGGGCTTCTACTCGCGCATGGTATGTTGGCCCTGTTGCTGTTCATGATGGTGCAACGACCTGCTGATATCTTCCTGAAACCACTGTTGAAGACAAGATTTGCGCAAGGCGTTTTACATGGCCTTTTGCCGCTTTACGTGGCGTTTCTGGCATATCATTCTACAGAGATGTAAGACAAAAGAGTGAATGAGAAGGGTTCACAGTAAAAGGGATTGTCCGACAGGTTTATTAAGTGTGACTAGCCATGAAAGATGTCATGCGGGTGGATGCGCAAGCGACCCACGCGTCGCTGGGCCCTCACGTCGATCAGCAGCGTGCTGAAGGCCAAACCCCTAAATCCTGAACCTTAAACCTAAAACCAAAAACTAAAACCCGAAAGCCAAAGCCCAAACCCCGAAACCCTAAACAAAGCGAGGAGCAAGAGCTGCTATAGCCAGCGACGAGCGCTGCCGAGGACGCCTTCGGCGGAGCAGCCGAGCGAGACACCGGAAAGGTGTGCGAGGGCCTGGAGCGCGCGGTGAGCCACGGCTCGGGCGTTTGGCCCGAGGCCCCGCGCGTCTCCGTCCTCCTTCATATTCTTGCGGCCACTTCCTTTGGCTTCGGCCGCTTCTGTCCGAGGCAACCAAGCCATGTGCTGGGCACACGTCAGTCAGCCCGCGCCGCTGGAATGTGTGTGTGTGACTCTTTGTGTAGTTCTTTTTTTTGGGGCGGGCCGGCCTGTAAATTCGCTACTCCACTCGCTCTGAGTTGGCGGGCATTGCGCGCGCTTTTCACGGTCAAGGCGCAGGAGACGCCATATATTTTTTCCGGCCTCCCCGTCAGAGACCGCGACGTCGTCTCCGACCCCCGCTGTTTGAAATCTCCAACCCGGGGGTCGATCGACCCTAAACCCAGTAAGGTTGGGGGACGGGTGGCTAGGAGTGGGTCGCCCTCTGAAGCCGCTTTCCCGCGGCTTCTTTTTCTCGGCTCTGCGCGCTTCTCGCAAGCTTCTAAATCTGTTTCGCTCAAGTCCAAGTTCGGAGCTAAAAGTTCCAGAATTTGCGCGCGCTAAACTTGAGCATTCCAGGTTGAGGCCCCCTTGTCCGCGGCCAGGGCGCGGGCGGGGCGCGCCCCGGTCTTGGCCCCTGGTCGCGCGCGCGTCTCTGGCTCTTCCCTGTCTCATGCCCTGCTTCCATTGTTTTCTCATGCCCTGCCTTTATTGTTTGGTCTTTGCATTTGTTGCCCTAGTTGCTCTTCCCTTTCTCATGCCCTGCTTGCATTGTTTTTTATGCCCTTGCGACCATTGCTTGGTCTTTGCATTTTTTTGCCCTAGTTAGTTGCCCTTCCCTTTCTCATGCCCTGCTTCCATTGTTTTCTCATGCCCTGCTTTCATTGCTTGCTGATTGCATTTGTTGCCCTAGCTTTGCATTGTTGGCCTTTGTTGCGCTTCCCTTTCTCATGCCCTCCTTTCGTTGTTTGGTCTTTGCATGTTTGGCCTTAGTTGCTGTTCCCTTTCTCATGCCCTGCTTCCATTGTTTTTTATGCCCTTGCGACCATTGCTTGGTCTTTGCATTTTTTTGCCCTAGTTAGTTGCCCTTCCCTTTCTCATGCCCTGCTTCCATTGTTTCACGCCCTGCTTCCATTGCTTGGTCTTTGCATTTTTGTTGCCCTAGTAGTTAGACAAGGTCTCTCCCGTCCGCATATTGCCATGCGCCCCCTATACCCCCCCCCCTACACTTTTAGCCCCAAATCAAAAATACACACATCAAATCAACCCATTTCACACCTCCAGATCATCACATACACCAACTTCAACACCAAAAATCGCACATTCATACACCCGTCTTCATTTCTCACCCATCTTCTCACTCACAACACCACCACACAAGCTCATTCAAAACAACAATCAGAACCGCATACCATCTTCACACCACACAACACGCAATTTTCAACAAGCATACCAACATCTCACCTCAACATCCTAACATCATCATGTTTCTCCCTCCTTCCTCCCACCAACGCACTAACAAGCCCCCTAATCCGTTTCTTCACAAACTCAAGCAGTCTAAAATGAAACCCCAAAATCACTGTTACCCTCATCACCCCAAAACGATAGAACACCACCATTCCCGTCCACACACCCCCATTACCCTGGAAAATGCGGGCTGAAGACACATGCGCCAATCCATTGGAGCTGTTTGAAAGCAACTTTGGGGAACAATTCCAGCAGTCTTGGTCAATTCCATTTTGCGGGCAGTATTGGCTTATGCAGTTGTCAGAAAGCATCACACTGCATGTAGGTTCACACCCTCAGTGGTGCACATATTTGCAGTGGTTAACGCAAGAAATTCCACCCTGTCACAGAAGGTGTCATACGCAGAGCCTTGGTCTTCAGGACAACAAAACTAGCCGTTATCCCCATGACACGGATTGTCATGCGTAGTGGGCGGCGCTATGTGCTTGCATGGTTGCTCGTTTGCTGTTGGTGTTTTGCAGTGAGCCCTCAGCAGTCCGTTTTTTTCCGCATTGCCGCCACGACAGCCTCCCAGAAGTGGTGATGCTTCGGAGCTTTTGACAAAGAAGTTGTCGGAGATAGAGAATGAAGAGGTTGAGGATTGGATGCAAGAGCAACTTCGTGATTTGGAATATGATGACCCCGACGTCATGGAAGCTGTGCGAAAGGTATTTGGCTGGCGGAAGAGGAAAATACTCATGGAAATGTCATATGGGCAATTTTTGTCTGCGCTGGAGAAGACAGCACTTTCAGAAGAAGTTCGACAAGACGTAGCACAGGGTCTTTACAACCGCATCCAGAGAGGTGTTCCACGAACCGCACCCGCTGCTTGGAGCAACCCTTGCACAGACTGTGATCCTATTTTGCAATGTTATCACATTTCGCTTCTGTTTTGTGGTTGACGTCTAGGTGTGGGGGCCTGATGCTGTGGGTTCGCCCTTTCCCCCTGCAGGTTCTGGCTGATGCCTCTGACATAGACATAGATTTTGCCCCTGCGTTGGAGAAGGCGGAGTTGGATGCAACTGGTCAATTTTTGGAGACAGACGAGGGCAGTTTCAAGCAACACCGAGATGCAGAAGTGTGGAATGATAGGACATTCTACGTCAGGGGCTGCTACAAGGATATTGCAGACATCATGAATGCACGCAACCCGGCACTATGTCGCTTTTGGGCTCTTCGGGCATCGGCAAGTCCAATTTCATTGTCTACTTCATGCGGCGCCGCTTCCAAGACCCCGAGTTAAGCAAATTTCCTATTTTTGTGCATAGGGGCAACAGAATCGTGCAGTTTCTGAAGGGGCAACAGCCACGAGAAGTTGACGGGGCAATCGTGCGGAGGGCTATGCCACGAGCCCTATACATCATGGATGCCAGCATTGATATGAAGAACGAAGTTGTGTGCCAGAGTCTTTGGATTACCTCTGCGAGGAAGCCAGAATCTCCGGCCTTCAACACAGAGCATTTCAAATATGCCGACAACTGCGGCGGGCGTTTTTTCCTACCACCATGGACTTTGGAGGAGATGCTGGATGACGAGGTGGCGAGGCTCCACGGATTGTCAAAGAAGGTTGTTGAAGAGCGCTTTACTATTTTGGAGGCACTGCAAGGCTAGTGTTGCGAACGGACAAGGCGGAGGCAGTCAATGACAGGGAGAGGCTTGATGAGGCTCTGCAGGACCCTGAGGCACTATCAAACCTGAGGATCACCTCCGACATGAAAGTCATGAGCAAGACCACACACTTGCTGGTGAAGATGCACCCAACAGAAGGTTTTGAACGGTTTGCTGTAAATTTATCTTCAGACTATGTTGCACAAGAGCTCGTAAAGCGAAATGGGGCAGACAACGCCAGAGAGCTTTGGAAGGCAATGCGGGCAGGAATGCTCACTGGCACAGGACCTGTGCTCTTTGAACAAGAGCTTCACAACTTCATGCAGGACAAAGGCATCAAGAAGTTCAAGCTTCGAGCACGATGCCTAAGTGATGGTAGAGAGGAGGACCTTTTATTCAATGGCGCTCTGGACGCTGAGCTGGTTTCAGGCAATCCAAAGGCGAACGTTCAACCCGAAAAATACTACCTTCCACAGAAGCGCAACTTTTAAGGGATTGATTCCTGGACCTCAGAAGGAATGTTTCAGTTGACCATCGCAGGGAGCCATCCTATCAACTTTGGCAATGCCAACTGTCAAGTGTTTAAGGTTCTTCGAAACCTGAATTCAAACTTTGCCAACGGCAAAGTGCGGCTCTACTTTGTTGTCCCGGACTCCCGTTTCGACAAATGGAAGAAAGTGCAGAACATTATTCCGCCAGAGGCGGAAAGCATCATTGAACAGTGGGTAGTGTGTTTCGAGGAGAACCTTCCGGCATGATGCAGAGGAACGCCGACGAAAACTTGCGCGCTGGGAGAGGCAGTTTTGCTGATAACCTTGGGGTTGCTGTTTTTGAAGCATGCAAAGAAGGAGGTTCAGGGTCCACTTGTCAATGTGTGCTGTTGACTCAAGCTCTACACCCTGAGCAACTCTGCACGCAAGTAAGGGCGAGCCATCCCTTCAACGGAGTAGTATTCTTGTCCCAGTTTCTTTCAACCCCTGAAACCTTGTATTTGACACTGCTCCAATTGGATGTGCGTTCTTTCTCGGAAATCCCTTTTTTGCGGTAGATCTTGACCTCGTCTCCAACCCTAACAGGGGGGTATTTACGGGTTTTCACTCTGTTCATTTCAAGTTTTATTTTGACTTCCATGTGGCTACTATCTTTATGTGCTTCATTTGGGGTCATGCCATGTGCAGAATGGATCATTTTACTGTTATATGTCAGCATGATCTCGGGAATGTAATCAACCCATTGTATATTAACCTTTCCCTTTTTCTCGTCAGCATCAATCCTTTTAAACAGCATGTCCTTGAACGTGCGAATGAAAGGCTCGGCGAAATGGGGGTGTCCGCGAGTTTTATAGTTTTGGATCCCTTCGTCTTTGAAAAAATCAACAAGATCTTGGGTATTGAGACTCCCCTCGTTATCCGAATAAATTAATTTGGGTTTCCCTCCCATTTTGTTTAATGCCTTTATGATCCCAGCCGTGATGTCGGCAGGTTGCTTGGATGCAATAGGCACCACCGTGGCTTTACGAGAGAATACATTAATAAGCAATAAGCCTATCCTATATTTTTGATTATCTAAATCGTTTTTGATCTAAAAAATAGATTCAGTTGATATTCATAATTGATATTCGGGGCAATGAATGGATTGTATCCAGATAGTTGTTTTTTCCTTTCCACGTTCTCTTGAAACCACTCTTTGACATCTTGCATTGTTATGGATGCATCTTTCTTTTTTGCATCTTTGTAAGTGGTGGCAATGCTACTAAACCCAGCCTGATCGTAGTAGATCTCACTGATTATTTTGTCTTTATCACTTATATAAATAATACTATAAAATACGATTCAATATGATATTTTGTTATTGAAACACCGATTGCACGAAGCATAGAAGGCAATGATATTATCCTTTGTATGGGGTAGATCATTACATAACCTTTGACAAGTCAGATTAGAACTTATATTGCCAGAATCCATGGACAACACAAAGCCATAGCCACAATTTGCATACTTTCCATTGATATTGTCTTTTAACCATTTAGCATCTATATAATTTTCTTTTGGGTCTACTTTCCCTGCGCATGCCTCTACACATGCCACGCTCTACTTTCCATGCGCATGCCTCTATGCATTTCATTGTCTATTTTCCCTGCGCCTGCCGCTTTGCATTTCACTGTCTACCATCCCTGTGCATGCATCTCTGCACTGCCCTATGCATGCCTCTGTGCATTTCACTGTCTAGCGTGCGCGTGCCTCTGTGCATTTTACTGTCTGCTTTCCCTGCGCATGCATCTACGCACTGCACTCTGCGCTTGCCCTACACATGTCTCTATGCGTTTCACTGTCGACTTTCCCTGCGCATGCCTCTAGCTACATGCCTCTACGCATTTCACTGTCTACTCTGCACATGCATCTATGCACTTCATGCCGCACTTGCCCTACGCATGCCTCTATGCATTTCATTGTCTACTCAGTGCATGCCTCTATGCATTTCACTGTCTACTTTTGCTGCGCATGCATCTATGCACTTTACCCTGTACTTGCCCTGCGCATGCCTCTATGCATTTCGCTCTGCACTCTCCCTGTGCTTGCCTCTCTCCACTTCACTCTGCACTTGCCTTACGCATGCCTCTATGCATTTTGCGGTTTACTCTGCGCATGGCACTATGCATTTCCCTGCGCATGCCTCTATGCATTTCACTGCGCACTCTCCCTATGCTTGCCTCTCTCTATTTCACTGCACTTGCCCTTCGCATGCCTTTATGGATTTCACTGTCTACTTTGCGCGTGCCTCTACGCATTTCATTGTCTACTTTCCTGCGCATGCATCTATGCATTTCACTGTCTACTTTCCCTGTAAATGCATCTATGCATTTCACTCTGTACTTGCTTCACTCTGTACTTACTTTCCGACCTTGCAGCCGGAGCTGCGGAGCCGTACTTCGCGAAAGTTGTACTTAAAAGTTACGATTTTGCAGCCAGAGCTGCGGGGACGTACTTCGCCGGAGCTGCGGGGACGTACTTCGCGTACAACTTTTGCACTTGAATGTTGCGACTTTGCAGCAGGAGCTGCGGGGACGTATTTCGCGTACTACTTCTGTATTTAAAAGTTGTGACTTTGCAGCCTGATCCCTGCAGACGGTCGCACGCCACACTTTGCTGACCACAGCCAAAGACCACACCTAAACCTACCCTACCAACCACTCCAGCCCGGCCACCAAAAAGATTGCTCACGGCACCATCTAAAACCCAATTGCAAGCCCGTTGGAACCTACCCGAAACAGAACCTAAATCTATCCCCCCAAGCTTGAGTCTTGATTTTTCCCTTCAATCACCCACGGAAACATTGCCACAGCCGCAGCCAACTCTACACTGCAGCCACCTAACATTTGAGCAGGCCTCGTGGGCTCCGAAATGCATCTTTTTCGGCTGTGCCAGGGTTAGGCTATTGCCAGGGCGATGCGCAAAAAAGCGCTGCAACCGGTTAGTTGTTTCTTTTTGTGGTGTGTTGTGTCTTCGCGTGTGTTGATTTGAAGATGCCACTTCTAGAGGTTGCTGTAGCGGGAAACACACGGTCACTAGCCATCTGGGCGGTCGCGCGAAGGTCTATTCCTCGGGCGATAGAGATGTCTTGCGCCTGCTACTGTAGAAGTTAAAGATGGTGTCAGCTAAGACCGCCGTTGCTCGCTTTGTTGGGCCCGCAATATCTTCGCCGCCTTCTGATTTCTCATGCCTTTTTCCTTGCGTTCTTCTTATGTTGGCCATCCTACCCCAACCAGGTCGTCTTTGAATCATGCAAGTCTGTCAGTTCTTCGCAAGTCAGTTTTAGGGCTTTCGCGTGGTGAGAGGCTTACGCGAGCGGCCGTCAAATTAACGGCAACAGAAAGAGGCTCGACAGACGGCGGCCCGGTCCCATTGAATCCTTTCACTGCATAGAACAGTGAGTTCTCTGCAGGCTGATGTTCACAGCTTGTACCTGACAACTCTCCAATGCCAAGCACGAGGGTTGGCTCAGAGAACGCGTTGGTGATTTGGGTTGGTTTCTCGCGGGCACGAATCATGAACCAAAAGAGCATTTCTTGCGATCAGACACAGAAGTTCAACCAAGCCGTTTGATGTTGGCCCCAGGCCAAAAATAGAGTTGCCCGAAGCAAATTGGTGAAGCACCATTATGTTTCAATCAACGAGCTTTGGGCAGGGCAAGTGATGGAATCAAAGCGATGCGTTTAGGTTTCCAGTCCTGGCAGAGACTAGTGCGAAAATGCAAACAGTCAGCACTTGCGCTTGCTCAAGTTGGCTGCTTGAAGATGCGTGAAGGTGGACAGCGTTTTGTGTTTGGCATGGCTCCAGAGAAGTGGAGCAACGACAAAAGTAGCGAACATGGGCAGCGGGGCGAGTACCAGCTTCGAGTACGGCAAGGATCATGAGAAGTTGGTGGCCCATGCGGTGGAATTGGACAAGAGCCAGACGCAACTTGGCGCCGGAAAATGTCCTGCCGCGTGTATGCTGCGAGATAGTGCTGATGCTTCTGATGCCGCTGGTGGCGCGGTGTTGCTGCTGCTGCTGTTGTTGTTGTTGTTGTTGTTGTTGTTGTTGTTGTTGTTGTTGTTGTTGTTGGCCCCGTCGTCGCGCAAACGCGCAAAAATGACCATTTCCCGAATACCTGTTTCGCGTGGCCCGCGCAGCACTTTCTGCACATGTGACAGACGAAAACCCTATTTCGACTGCACAGGCGCGCGTTTTCGCGAAATGCTGGAAATCGGGGAAAATGATCAGTTTCCGAACACCTGTGTTGCATGGCCTGCGCGGCACTTCGTGCACATTTGACACGCGCAAACCCTATGTTGACTGCACAGGTGCGCGTCTTCGCGCAGTGTTGGAATTCGGGAGCGCTGCGGTCATGTCCAACATGGTGCCGTTCACGTTCAAGGGAATACTGCGATCCAGGCTTGCTACCGTTTCCAGCATGGTAACCATGTCCAACATGCGTTCACGTTCAAGGGACTCACACATGGTGCTGTTCACGTTCAAGGGAATACTGCGTTCCAGGGGTGCTACCATGTCCAACATGGTACCGTTCACGTTCAAGAGAATCATGCGGTCCAGGAATGCTATCATGTTCAACATGGTACCGTTCACGTTCAAGGGAAGGCGCTACCATGTCCAACATGGTGTCGTTCAGGTTCAAAGGAATGCTACATCAAGGGAATACTGCGGTCCAATGGTGCTACCATGTCCAACATGGTACCGTTCACGTTGAAGGGAATACTGCGGTGGGTACTACCATGTCCAACATGCTCGGCGCCCGCAAGTACAAAAAGCATTCTGAAGGAATCAGGTTTCACAACTGAAAAACAGCTCAGGCATTATCTGCACAGGGCCTACTATCTAAAGCCTCAGGAATAAGCAAAGCAATGTGACACAGAATGCAGCACCAGTGCGGTTTCTGCAAGCCAAGAACTTCATGACAGTTGCTGAAACTGCAGGCAATCAACGCTCAAATAGCGCCCAGAAAAAGGCAGCCGCGCCTCAAAATACCGGCGTCCACAAATTAGAAAATACCCGAACATCTTCATCCCTCGCTGGCTTCCTTCTTCGGAACAGGTTGCTGAAGCTGCAGGCAATCGATGCCCAAATAGTGTCCGCACAAAGGAAACCATGTATCAAAATAGCGCGCTCGTAATTTCCATGCCCCAATGCAAATGGTGATCGGAAAAATATTGGGGCTGCAGCCGCGCGAGCAGCGGACAGAACTACCGCGAGGAGTCGTTTGGGGGGAATGACAAAACACAGCCCGGCCAATTCGTAAAACCCAAAAAAGACCCCTTGGCAGTTTTGACCGCTGCTCACATGCACCGTTTCGAAGAAACAGCGCGCAACGCAGTCGCTGCAATGGTGACATGCTGGTGCCTTCCTGCACCCATCAGCGGTGGACAGGCAAGCACGTAAGCCTCAGCTTTTTCAGCTCCAGCAGTTTGACACGCAGGCCTCTAGGCACGCGCAGTCAAGCAAGGTTACAAAACAGTGAGCGCAAGTGAAAGCACTTGCCCGCCCTGCGGTGCACACAGCCAAGACGCAGCGCCAAATTCTGCAACGCGTCGCCAGCACGGTCCGGAAGATGCTGGATGGAAGGCTGAGCGAAGAACGTTGAAGCAGCAGCTGAAGCGGGCGACTCAGCAGACCCACGAGCTGTTTGGAGGCTTCTGGGGGCCCGGGCTGTTCAAGCTTGGGGCTTTCTTTGGAAGAGGGAATGATTGCGAATTGTTTCCAGCACAACGTGTTGCTCGGGATCTGTTGTGGCTACCTTGATTGAAGCAAGCCGAGTGACAGGAGAAAAGCGCAGGCGCAAAAAGCCGCAAAGTTACCAGCGGGCAACCTTGCTTGGCTGCTGCCCCGCAAGGTGCAGGGGGCGCTGTTTGAAGAATCTTGTTTCACGCGGAGCTTGCTCAACGCGAGAGCTTTCACTCAGCTTGTGCGACTTTGCCCACCGTTCAAGTGCGCAGTGCAAACCTCTGAGCCAAGCCTGCCTTGTGGCTGAAGCGAGTCTCACAGCACCCTTGGCTGGCCTGGTCTTCAAGGTCATGATCCCAAGCCAAAAGGACCTCCAAAGGTGTGCGCCCCCGCAGTGACGCTCAAGCCTGTTCAGAGGGCAAACGCGTGCAAACGTGCCCCGCGTCGGCTTTTCCTGCTGTCAGAACAGAGCCTTGCAAGCGACGCAGGCAAGATCGGCCGGCGTCGGCTTACTAGCGGCGGTCCCACGAGTTGCTTGAGCTCTTTGTGCAAACGTGACAAGTCTGTCGGCTCTCGGGCACCCTCGAGTGCCATAGCCAAGCCAGGCTCCTGGTGAACCTTCTCAAACACATCTTGAGCCCTGCAAAGCCTCGCGTATGTCCAGCGGTGAGTGGACGAGGGGGGCAAAATCCGGGCCGGAGCACAGCGCAAGAGCAGCGTCGGCCGCGCATTGCTTGCGTCAAGCGCAAGCTCAAGTGTTTTGGAGAGGCCCTTGATAACGGCGACAGAATCTGAGGTGTTCCAAGACTCATTGTCTTGTTCGGCCTCTAATGTGGCAGCTTGCCGCAGAAAGCTCCGCTGCATCGCACGCTAATGCCACATAGGACATCGCACCTCGCAAGTTCTCCTTCAGCACCGCGCGCATGCTGATGCAACACAGCAAGCGGAGTCACGTTGAAGCCTGCCGAGGCTTCGTAGAATTTAACGAACTTAACGATTTTAAGTTGCCAGACGGCCAAACATTTTCAAGTCTTTAATTCCACAAATTCATTTTAATGAACTTTTAATGTTTCGGAAGGCCAAGAAAATTAACTATCATTAAGAAGCCTTAAATTCTGGGAGCTTGCCTGAGCCAGGACTATTGTAATATTAAAACCATTCAAACCATCAAAATCATTAAACTTATTAAATTCATTTGAACGAACTGATTGATCCAGTGTTTCAGAAGGCGAAATTCATTAAGTTCATCTTAATGAATTTAATGAACTTACTGTCTCAGAAAGCCAACAAGATATATCATTAAATTCATGTTACTGAATCATTAAATTCATGTTAATCAATTTGTTTGTTGAATGTTCCGGAAGGTCGAACATATTGAACTCATTCAGATACATAAACTCTACGAGTTTGCCTGAGCCAGGGCTGTTTTTTAATCGTTTAAATCATTCAAGCACTTCAAGCACTTAAATTCAATAAGTGCACTTTAACGATTTTAGTGACTTTCATGTTTCAGAACGCCAAAATCGTTAAAATCATTAAATTCATCAGCTCATCTCATTGAACTTAATGACATAAATGTTTCAGAAGGCCAAACAACATTCAAATCATTAACTTGGTTAAATTGACGTTAATAAACTTAATCGTGTGGACTTTTTCAGAAGGCAACAAATAGAATTCTCGGAGGTTGCCTGAGCCAGGACTATTTTCACATGAAATTCATTCACAACATCAAAATCATGAATCTTCCAGAAGGCCAAAGCCATTAAATCCATTAAGATCATTTGAATAAGTTTCGCGGCTTGAACGATTTTAGTGTTTTGGGCCGTTTGGCGCATTAAGAAAGTTTAAGTTGATTAAGTTTGGGGAGCTTGCCTTAGCCTGGACTATTCTAATTTGACAATGATGTAAATCATTTAAGCCACCAACTTCATTAAAATCATCCTAATGAGCTTGAAGAATTATTGTTTCAGGGGCCAAAACCGCTAAAACCAGTAAGTTTGTTAAACACATGTTAATGAGTTTAATGTGCCAGAGGGCCAAAAAACCGCAAGATCATTAATTTCACGAAGTTCAGTTTAATGAACATAGTGATTAAAATGTTCCAGAAGGCCAAAACCAATAAAATCATTAAAGTCATCAATATGAAATAGGTGAGTATGATGTTATTGGGTTTGGCCTTCTGAAACACAACCCATGAAGTTCAATAAGATGAACTCAATGATTTAAATCGCCTTTACTCACTGGTGAACGATTCCGCCTCAGCCCTTCAAGGAGTGCAAGGGCAACGCAAGGGAGCGATGAGGATCAACCGACTGACTCTTTTGCATGTAGGATTGCGCCGCCTTACGACAGTTATGTTTTGGTTTGTTTGTTCGTTTTCGGTGTTGGGGTTGTAGTGCTGTAGCTGCCGTTGTGTCCGCGTTGCTTGTTGTGACCCTCCCATTGTCACAGCAGCAACTGCGTGTCATAGTGGTCAGTTTGTGTTGCAATTACTTGGCATGGAAAGGGTGTTTTTCTTGCCTAGCCCTGGCACAGGGATGACCCTGACGGTTGGTTGGTTGGTTGGTTGGCTGGCTGGCTGGCTGGCTGGCTAGTTGGTTGGTTGGTTGGTTGGTTTGCGGGTAGGACGAAGGTTTGGGATGGGTTCAGGGTAGGTTTAGGGAAGGTTCAGGCCCGGCATCGTCTTAACATCCTCAGCATCATTTTCAACACCTCAGCATCACCAGGCCTTGGTTTAGGTTAGGTTTAGGGTGAGTTCCATATTTTCTCGGGCTTGGCTCCGGGTGGGTTCCAGGCCTATTGAGAGCATTTTTTTGGGGGTGCCTGTGCTTGAGGCAGATGGTTTAGTGCTGGTTTCTGGTGGGGCTTCTTGGGGTTGGTCTCGGGTGGGTTTAGGGCTGGTTTAGGGTGGGTTTAAAATCGGCTTCTTCAAACACAACCATTGCCAAAGCCAATTACCCTAAACCAGCCCTAAACCCACCCGAGACCAACCCCAAGAAGCCCCACCAGAAACCAGCACTAAACCATCTGCCTCAAGTACAGCCACCCAAAAAAACATGCTCTCCATAGGCCTGGAACCCCGTCCGAATCACAACCAGAAAGTTCCCCCCGAGCCGTCCGACCAGAAAGTTCCCCCCGAGCCGTCCCAATCACAACCAGAAAGTTTCCCCCAGAAAGTTCCCCCCGAGCCGTCCGAATCACAACCAGAAAGTTCCCCCCGAGCCGTCCGAATCACAACCAGAAAGTTCCCCCCGAGCCGTCCGAATCACAACCAGAAAGTTTCCCCCGAGCCGTCCGAATCACAACCAGAAAGTTCCCCCGGAGCCAAGCCCGAGCCAATATGGAACCCACCCTAAACCCAACCTAAACCAAGGCCTGGTGATGCTGAGGATGTTGAAAATTATGCTGAGGATGTTAAAACGATGCCAGGCCTGAACCTACCCGAAACGGACTACCCTAAACCCAACCCAAAACTTTGTCCGTTAGTGTCCCCTTTTGTGCACGCCAGGCTGTGCCAGGGTTAGGCTAATGCCAGGTCTATGCAAAAAAAAGCACCTCAGCCTACTTGGCATGTGCCCAGGAATCGCACGAACATCGGGTTCGCTCGACTTGCTCAAGAAGTGGCCTTGCACTTGTTGAACGCATCAGGTCTCAAGGAACATGTCGGTGACTGCGTGGGTGCATTGGCGTGTCCAAAAGCGACGACTTATGGAGACAGTGTTGAGTAAGAAAAAGTTTTGTAGTTGGGATTGCGAATGCCTGCTGATTTTGAGCAAACATGCCACCCAAAGTGTTGCGGCAGTTGCAAGTCCGAATTCTTGTCCAAACAAGTTTTATGTCATGACGCGTTCCTGTTGCAGCGCGCAAAGTGTTTCAAAGTCATAGCAGTGCTCGCATTGCATTTGGTATGCGCTTGTGGCCTTTGGCATCTATTTAAGTGCTTTACGATCTGTGGTCATGAACTTGGCAAATTGGCTGCAGCTGACTGTGCGCGGCAGCGTGGGGAGCGGAATGTTGCAGGACAAAGATCCCAAAGCCAAGCTGGAGGCCCTGGAGCCGCTCTATGCAGAGCTGGCGCAGCAATGGAATCAGCCCAAAGAGGTGCGCAGATTCGAAGTACTCCACAGTTGTTCTTGAATGAGAAATGCAGGAGCTGTAGTTGGCGGCCCCCAGATTTAGCAACGTCCACTGTGCTCATCACTCTCTCCACCTTTCTTGGTTGTCAATGTCGATTCAACTAATGCAGGATTTTGTCCATTCACAGTAAAGGGAAGAGAAGAAAGGTGTTCGCAACGCGCTCCTTGTAGTTGGGTTGGTGTTCTTTTCTCCTGGAGCGGGCTGTGTCCCGGGCCCCAAGCCTACTGCCTGTTTTTTGGAGCTCGCCATATAGCGTTTGTAATTCTACACCCCCCCCCAATGTTTGGCAGTGCCGTGCTATGAAATGGGAACGTGCGAATCCACAGTCAGTTTGGCCCCTGCCCTGGAACATCCAAAGGTCAAAAGTGTCACGCCTTCAATGGATACATGCTCTAAAGCATTGCACCATATTGCACCTGTGACGGGCGAAGGATGAAGTATCACGGCCGGCTTTCGCCAGCCAATGCGCTTTCGTTGCGTACACTAGTTTGCTAAGTTGATCTAGATGGAAGCGATAGCTTGCGTGATGTTTCTCTGCTTCAGATGCAGCTGTGACCAGCGTCGCAAGTATGTTCTTCATTGTTGAGGGGGTCTGTGGTTATATTTATGGTGATGTGGTGCTTGTGATAGCGATGGTGCGTACTCCTTCTTCGTTGCTTTGCAAGGAGAAGCCTGGGTTTGCGATCATTGAGGGAGTGAAGTACGCCATCAACGCTGCTGCTGGGATTCGCAAGCGTATGCAGTTTACATTTGTCCCATCGCTCAGTTCCCAAGTCGGCGCCTGTATCAACTTTTGGGTAAGACTTGTCTTTCGGCCTGCCGAAGTGTTGACCACTGCACACAGCCGACACGTCCCACCCCGAGACTGTTTCATTTTCCCCTCTGCTGTGTTTCGGTGTGTCGGGAGCGTGGCAGGTAAAGTTCGGCCTCATCGCAGAGGACGCGCACGTGGTTCTCTCCGTGCCTTTCTTCAAGGCACACGCCGAAGCCCAGGGAGTTGCGCCATGAATTCAAAAACAGCGGCCGAATCTGAAGAAACGAATGTCGAGTTGAACGTGGGCTTGGATGTTCTTGATGAGCAAACATACCTCACCCCCTCAGATTCTAAGCGCAACCATGGTTTTGTAAGGGTTGCCTCAGTTGCCTCCATCCATTTGTTTGCAAACTTGAAGCACTTCGACGGGATTGGCGCAAGGAGTTCGAACGCGGCGCGCCAGCCTCGACAGAAAATCCCAACGGTGAAGAAAGCCCCATCCAGAAGTTTGAAGAGCTGGTTTTTCTGTGCGGCTTCAACAAGATGCTCGGCGGAATCTTTGAATGAACCTGAAAGCTTTGTTGCTTGAAGCTGTCAATTTTGCGTGCAATCGTTTGATGTTGGCTGGTTTTGAGCAATACCTTGTTCATGTTTACTGCTTGGCACTGGGCCGCTTGTTGTTGCAGCTGCTGGTTGTATTTGCGGTTGCGGTTGGGGTTGTGTTGCCGCCGTCTTCATTGTCCTCATCGTGCTGCGTGGCCATTTTTCAGAGAGCTGTTGTGAGCTGTAGTCGACCGAAGCTCGCGTTGCGGAAGAAGGCGGCGACATGTCCACTATGGTTAATTACTTTTGCTTTTGCAGCAGCTTTTTGCCCAGAACGATCATTTCCAGGAAGGTCTCTATGCACTTGATTTTTGTGAACGACTCCGTGGCGGAGAAGGTGGACAAGGACCCCAGCTCCGTGACCTTGTTCAAGGAGGCCATTGCCGCCTACTCAAAAGAGAAGGACCTCGGCGAAGCCACTTGACTCAACTCGACAAGAAGCGTGAATTCCGAAATTGATGCAAGTAGTGCAGATGCACCGAACACGTTGCACACCTTGTACATGTATTTACTTTGTATGTTGCTTTCAATGTGTGTGTGTGTGTCTCCTCGTCACTGGCGCAAATGCACATGTGTATGTGCGCACAGATGCACATGATATACACGCGCGCGCGAAAACACGCGAGAACTAGAGTGCACATTTACACCTGTGCATGCTCAGGCGCAAACACGAAGATGTGTTAGTTTTTTACACACTTTTCACATGCTCAGGTGTTTCATGAGCTTGTCCTGAGTGGCACGGCGCGCAAATCACAGTGAACAAAAGCCGAGCGCGTGGAACGAGGGCTCAGCGTGTCAGCACGCGGCCGGCGGACCAAGCGCAGGCGGTAGCAGACTTCGAGCACTTTGAGCTTTTGGATGGCCAGCTCTGCGTCTCCTTCACCAGCGTAGAGGCAAGCCGTTTTGCAACGCCTGTTGGTTGCTTGGTTGGCTTGGCAAGGAGGGGAGCTGAGAAAGGATAAGTAAGGTCAGGCAAAATTCAGATCAGGTTTGAGCTCGATTTTGCTTAGTTTCTTGGCTCTTTGCCTGCGTTCTTGCAAAGCTGCGACATAGTTGCAGTTGCCGCAGCCAAATGAATGCTTCTTTGCCCTTTGGTGCGGTTCAGGCAAGCACCAGACCAAGATGTTATAGACTTTGGAATTTTTGCTATACTTGGCCTCCATAGCGCTGCGTATGCTGCATTTGTCAAACTGCGAGATGGGTCCCAAGTCACTGCTTTTGCTTATGCGCCCTGCCGAGCCCATCCTGTAAGTGTCTTCACGTTTGAGGCGTCGCTCTGCGTCGCTCTGCGTCTCTTTTCCGGGTGTACTTTCGGATGCAAAGGTTCCGACGGAAGCGTGCGTTGCACCGAGAGCGGCCAGTCCATTTTTGTTTATGAGTCTGTCGCAAGGGTGACAATGATCGAGGCGCGCGCATGTTGCGGGGATTGTCCTTTCTGATTCTCGTGTCGCGCGGAATCTAAAGTACTAGAGGTAAAGCTGGTTCAACCGTTGCGCCCTCTCCAATTCTAAGCAAAAAACCCACATGGCTGCCCGACGCAGGCAGAGGCGGCCAAGGGCAGCGCGTGCGAGAGCCCGGAGGAGAAGCGGAAGCGCATGGAGAACCGACACCCCGAGACCAACAAGCTCCAGGAAACGCCACACAGCTCGGGTTGGGTTTTGTTGCGAAGTTTGAAAAAAAATGGGGGTAGAGAGAGCATTTTTTGAGTCTGCTGCTTGGTTGAACTCTGATGTCATTGGGCCAAGTTCTGTCATCATGGTTAGGGGAGCCATTTAACTCAAACCCGCCATGTCTAAGACCATGAATGTCGATTTGTTGAGGTTCAGACCGATAACTCTCAGAAAAATAGAGGGAGGTGGAAGTCGACGAGTCGACATTTCCGATTGTGGATGTGTATGGCCTGTATAACAGGGCCATCTGTTTCACGTCAAAGAATCATGTCTTGTTTGCAGCAGAAAACAAAAAGATTCATAGCATGTACTGCCGAGCGCAGCTGGGTGTTCCAACCACATGATGAACATGAGCCTGGACTGGGCGATGTCAATGACCCCTGCACACTGTGCACATTTCGTGGCCGTTCTGATGGTGATTGTTTTCGGTTATTCGCGCCCCAAACATCTTGCGTGGTGTTTCAGGCCCGCACTGCTATGCCACTTTGGCTCAAGCCGCGCTAGCGTCAGACATTTGATGGCGCAAGACAAACTGTTACACCCTGAGTCACCCTTGCTTGACGTTACAACCAACGCCGCTGGCGCTACCCGCATTGCGGAGAGGAGCGGAGGTACTTGTTTACAAGGCACCATATCTACTACAAACTGGTACATTTTCACATCACTGTGTGTCTTCTACCCTCTTTTTCCTCCACACCTAGGCAGTCTCCAAACAAAGCTGTGCTGGAGGGCCGGTGGCTCCGGCCAGGTTTGCGAGCGCTGGCGTGACCATCCCCACCAGCGCGCCCATGGCGAGGGGCAAACGGAGGTTTCTGCAACGGTTGGCAAGAGTGTCGATTCCCTAGAAGAGGACCCTCCGCTCGGTCAGCTGAGTGGGCACTGGCCTTCTCCCGCCCAAGTTTGAGTTGACTTGGATGGCTGCAAGGGGTTCCGGGCCTCTCTGACACAAAATAGCCCACGGCGAGCTTCTCATCTTGGGACTTGCCTTCTCGGACAACGGGCTTGCGGTGTTGGGCTTCCTTGCCGAACTTGCTCTTGAGGGCAACCTGCTGGCGTTTCTGCGGTCATAACGTGGCAAGGGTAGAAAAGGGCGCCTGGCTTGGGCCTACCAGACCCTGGTCCAGCCGCTTTAGATGACGCGGACAATATCTCTTTGGGCCCCCCTTTTGTCTTGGAAACATTGTGTGAGACGGTTTCATTTTAAGCTTCTCCGTGCTCAATTCATCGCGGATTCACAGTTACACTCACGTTGAAATCGCGGACTGAGAGCTACCCGGCATCCTTCGGGGGGTCGGCAGGCAACTGACCCTGCCTATGGCCGGTTCGTTGCACTTGCCCTCAGTTTTGGAATAGTTTGCCACTTTCTCGGATTCAACGAGAATGCTGCATGCGTGACAAGCTGTGCTGTGACGAGACATATCAACGTGACACGCGCAGGCATTTCAATCTCAAGAAAGGTGGCCCATTTCGCCATGTACTTGTAGTCAAGTGAATCTCATTTGGTTTTTTGCCTGTTTGTCAGTGTTTCTGTTTGCTTGCTTGCCCGCTTGCTTGTTTGTTTGGGACTTTGTGTTTGTTTTTTGTGTGGTTTGTTGGTTGGTTGGCCGGCCGGCGATCGGTTGGTTGGTTTTGTTTGTTTGTTGTCATTGCTGCTGCTTCGTTTGTTTCTGAGGCTGGGCGTGGCCGCTGCCAGTGAAATCAGTGAGCATGGCTTGCCAGCAGAAGTTGCCCTTGCTTTCTCCAGACTTTCAGATTTGCGAAAGGTAAGGCGTGCGAAAACAGGCCTCGCCCTGAATAAGGAATGTAAGGCAGGCTCAAGCAATTCAAGCGTCATGTTGCGATGACCCCTTTCAATGAAACCCTTGTCTCGCCGTTCTTCAGCACTTTCGTGTGGCCGGCCCGGCATATCTTAAGTTAGCGATTGTGACTGTCAAGTAGTGCTGGTGCGTCAGCGCCATGCCTTTAGGTGAGCCAAACATGAAGAGACAGTTCTGTCCATCAAATTTCCAAACAGGCCCCACACAATTCTATGAAAGCTGACACAGCACAGAGCTGACAGAGAAACCGCAACTTCAGCACAGCAGCTCTGTCGCAGGAGCGGAAGGGCGGCGCCGTGCTGGCTGGAATGGAAGTTCCTCTTGGCAAGGCAGGGGCCAAAGAGTGAGCGGGCAGGGGAAGACAGAGCAAGATAGAGGGAGGGGAGACTGTCAAGTCAGCAGAAGGCCCAATTTGAAGTTTCAGAAGTTCAACGGGTCACACTTCGGCTTTAGCCAAAAGGTTTTTGGAAGTCAAGAGTCAAGGAGGCGGGGAAAGTGCCGCAGCCAAAGCACACAGAGCAGAGAGTGTTTGAGGTCAAAACCCCCCAGTTACAAATCCTTCACGCAGCGATCTCCCGGGGTAGCTGAAAACGGTGCCCTGCAAGACTCTTCCTTTGAATGCAGAAAGCAACGAGCCCTGTACAAGTATGTACAAGTGCCCCGCGCCGAACTCATGACACCACTAACGAGCAACCAAAGAGCCAGCCTGTCAATTTCTTTTGCTAGATCGCCGTTTAAAAAATAATCAACATGCGCGGCTCATGGTCTGGCGGGCTTATGGGCTCAGAGTCCGTTTGTCAGGGCTTTGCCGACAAGCCCACGCGGGCGGTGCGCATTTTGCTGGATGGTGATAGCACCATCGCGGTGGGCTCCTTTGTTGGGGAAGCGGCGCATTCCATTCTCCAGGAGCGCGTCCCGAATTGAGCCAAGATGGATCTGAGTTTGCGTTTCTCCGTGTAATTCAACAAGATGTCTTGTTGTGTCGCGAAGCGTGACACGCATGCATCAACCCAGACCATGCAACCAATATGCAACCAATGAGTCCAGCTCCAAATCCTTAGACATATTCGCTTCACAAAAGCGGCTAAAGCGTTTGAAGCCAGAGTCAGCAAACTTGAACACAGGAAGCACGCTGGCGGTGTTGAGGCAAAGCTCGAATGGCAGGAGGGAAACAACTGCTACTTGGCCAACATGAAGCACCCGTGCACCTGCATCTCCTACCAGCCCCCAGAACCAGGTGCAGAGGCAGCTGCTGACGATTCCGCCACCCAGGCCCGTGTGCAGAACCGGAAGCTTTTCTTCTCCGGCTTTACTGTGCCGTTCCTGTTCCCTGAGCTGTCCACCAAATACAAGTTCCTTGGCTCCATTTTCGATTTCCGAGCTCGCCAAAAGGATTGCGTTTGAGACAGTTGCTTTTGCTTCGGCTACCCTTTTCCGGGCTTTTGCTTTGCAAAATTTGGATTTGACTCCCATAGCATGCGTCCTATGCGTCCGATGCGTCCGATGCGTCCGAGGCGTCCTAGGCGTCCTTCGCTTTTGCGGCTTAGGTACATGGGCACCACCCAGCTCCCGGCCAAGGCCTTCCGCGGGGACATCGACTTCTGCCAGGGCAAGCTGCCCACGGTGCAGCCCAATGTGGACCTGGGCTGCTTGGCCCTCACCGTCACTACTCTCAACGCTGGCGGCGGAAGCATCCAGTCGGGACCCATCACCATCAGGCGGATGCGATGCGCGATGCGCGATGCGCGATGCGCCCGCGCATCGAACGAAGTGACCCGAGTCGGGCCACGCAAAATTTGAGGATTTGGAAATATTCGTGTCCACGAGGCTGAAAGAATTTCTTCTAAGAGTTTCTTTTTTCGTTTCTGAAAGAGTTTCAATCGAGTCAAAGAGTCAAAGAGTCAGGGACAACGTGGCGTCTTCGACGATGACCACCAGCGATCTGCAGGCGGAGTGGGACAAGACCTACGGCCCCATCTTCGTCTCGGCCGTCGGCCTGGCGCGGGAACTCAAGAAGGCCGAGTTCGAGCAGCTCCCCGCCTGGTGCACCGCCTTCATCGAGCCATGGCGAAAGAAAAGCTCGAGTGCTCTCTCCACTCTTTTTGCTCTTGCCACTCTTTCTTGTCTTCCTTGGCTCTCTTCAATCTTCCGGAGTCGGAATTCGGAGCAAGTTTTCTCCCCTCAACGCACACTGTTTCCAACATAGCCTTGCACGACTTGAGCCATCTGCGCCATGGCAGTTGCACGCGCATTTGAAGAGTCCGGCGAAGTAAGGCCGGATCAGGCTATCAATCACCCCAACCCAGTGAAGGTCAAGAACCGGCGTGATTGAATAGAATGATGCGCGCGCGTTCCATGAATGAACTCAAGAGTTTGAACAAAGGCACAGGGCCGACGTGTGTTCAAGACTTGTAAGAACGCAAGTGCAAGGAAGTTTTGACATGTTCAGGTCGAGAGCTGGCTCCAAGCTGGGCGTCCAGACTTGGAACGCAATCGCAACTGGCATGCGTTCGTAGGAGAAGCCGCGTAGGTGCGCTGCCTGGGATGGATGCAGAACGCATACCAAAATGTACCGAATGTTAAATGTGCGCTGAGCTTGTCGTAACTCTGAAGACAATCCTACTTGTCAAGAGGCGACAAAGGGCTGTTTGCATAGCGCAAGTGTGTTTCCATCTTTGCCAACGCCAGTCGTATCTCAACATATCTCAACCATGCCTTTGTTTAAGCATTGTGCACAGGAGTAGCACACATTGAACTGCAGCCAATGGGCAAAGGAGCGCATGAAGTTAAAGCACTACACCACGCTCTTTGGGAATGAGAAGAACGAGGATGTGGACGCATTGTTTGCTGACATGAAGACCTTCAAGGGCGCTGCGGACCCGGCTGCTGTGTTGGAGAAGCTCAAAGGTGGTCTCAAGAAGATCTTCCCCGATGATATTGCATGATCAATCATGATCATTTGATCACGTTGGTTGGTTGTGAGTTGGCTACTTTCAAATCTGACTGCTCCGACCGCTGGAATGGCTTGCTGCCGGTTGTGGTTTTTACATGAAAAGTATGACTGGAATGCACGAATTTGTTTCGCTGGCGCAGCAAGCGGTCGAGGTCGGGGTAGTGTTGATCGATTTCTCAAGGCGTGCTGCAACGCTGAAGGCGTGAGGCCACCGCAGTCTCCCGGTCCCAACGTGATATTGCTAGTGCGGCTTTTGCGTCTTTTGCGGCTTTTGCGTCTTTTGCGTCTTTTGCATCTGCTGTGTCTGGTTCTAAAAGAGGAGGCAGCTTGACAAATCTGTAAGCATACCGTTTGTCTTTTGAGTGAAGTTGACCCAGGCCCACAAGTTTTCAGTCGTTGCCATATGTCAGTCTGGGCTCCTCCTTCAGTACCGGCCTGTCCTTGCTTTCACGGCTGAGAGGCACAAGCTACGCACGCAGCGTAGCTACGCGTGCAGCATGAGTCCTCGATGTTTTGGCCGACCCAAGCGATCGTGGAAATATCATGGCCGTCATGCCTTACACAGCGTGCAAATGCCAAGTAGTGCTTGCAGCTTTAGCCAGTGCTGGCAAGCGCTCGCTAGCAAGAGAGTTTCAGCAGCTAACAGATATGTCAACAAGCAAACAACAATCACGAGCCGGCCAGCTAGCCCGCTAGCCAGCCTGCCAGCCAGCCGAGTATTTTTCTAAATATACAAGTAGCAAAGTTCCTACATAACGAAGCAACTAAGGTAAAGCAAAAATAGGTAGCTGAGAAACTAAGCCACTCGCGACTCAGCAACTTAGCAACTGAGCAGCCAAGCGCCTAAGCAGCTAAGCAACTTAGGAACTACCGAGCAAAGCGAAGCAGCTAAACAGCCAAGCGCTAAACACCTCCCAAACACAAGAAATCCATAGCGGCATCACCAAAGCGTCCCCACACATCCCCAAACAAAGACACCCGCTTCCCAAGAAAAGACATTCCAAAGCAAGACCCCCTCAAAGATATCTTCAAAAACATCCCCTAGGCCCGAAGACATGGACATTCCCAATGACAAGCTCTACAAACCAACCCGGCAACCAAGTCCTAGGACAGGCAAAGATTGCGCCTGCAACGGACCCGCGCTCAACGCGCGGGGCGCGCAACATCGCAAGCGCAAACGCTGCGAACTGCGGCGCTGTTGCTTAGCTGCTCAGCTGCTTGGCCTCTGCTGGGGGGGGGGTATCTTGATATACTCTAGTGGCTTGTTTTGGGGATGTCGTTGGAGGGATGTTCTTTGGATGTGTATTGTGGGTGATGTGCTTGCGATTGTTTCTTCGGTTTTGGGGCTTTGTTTGTGCATGTCTTTGGGGGGTTGTGTTTGTGGGTTGTGTTTGGTGTGTTTTCCGGTATGACTTTCAAGATGTCACAGGAAGCTTGAAGATATTTTGTTTATGAGTTGTTTTAAAGATGCCTCTGTCTGTCTGGGAGTATGCTTGGGAATGTCTTTGGAAATGTCTTGGGCTTGTGTTTGGTGATGCGGGTGTGTTTCGATATGTTTTTTTTTGTGGAGAGTGTCTTGACAAATGTCTTTGGGGGATGTCTCTGGCTGATGTCTTTGGCGTTTGTTTTTAACTGCCTGTCGGAGCTCGTCATGTTGTTGGGCGTGTCTTTGTTGTCTTTGCGGATGCCTACGGAGATGCCTTTTTGGACGGCTTGATTCTGGGAGCTTGTCGGGTGTCCTTGTGGTTCTGTGGATGCACCCTCTGATAAAAGTAACAACACACAGCGCAAGAATCTTGCACGTCGAGTTGGAGCTCGAACATCACCTGCCTTTGCGAGCGATGCTGTGCATGACACGATTGCAGCGTCCTCTATCGCATTCATCGCTCGGCCGCGTCCTTGCGCTCTCCGAGCCTGGCTGGTGACCGGTAGGCTTAGGGGCGCCCGGAGAAACGAATTTGGCCGCCCTCCCCCTCCTTGCCCCTTTTGATCCTTTTGCGTGGGACCAACCCGTGACTTCTCTTGTGTTTTGTTGCTGCATTTGCACGTTCGGCCCCTTGGTTCCTTCCAGGGCAGTTTGGCAGACTTGTTTTTGCCTTTCCTTGCTTGGTCCTTGCATTTGTTGCCCTAGTTGCTCTTCCCTGTCTCATGACTCAATGACCTGCTTCCATTGTTTTCTCATGCCCTGCCTTTCCTTGCTTGGTCCTTGCATTTGTTGCCCTAGTTGCTCTTCCCTGTCTCATGACTCAATGACCTGCTTCCATTGTTTTCTCATGCCCTGCC